GCCCCCCCCCCCCCGCCCCAGGGCAGCCAGGCTGTTGCCTGTGGAAGGGCTGGGAGTACACGTGAGCTCCAAGCCGCCTTCCTGGACTGAGAGGTACAGGAGCTCTTGGAATCCTTAAGCCAGGACTGAGGATGGAGAACGGGAGGATCCTTGGAGCTTTGTGTCATACGGCCTGGGAGGAGGCAGGAATGGCCAGGGGACTGGGGCACGTGGCACCTGGAGGCATGTGCTCTGGGCTGGAGTCTCCACTGCCGCCCAGGGGCTGGCGGGCCTCAGGTGTTCTATGGGCTCCTCATTAGGGCAGGTGTCATGACCTCACGGAAATGCCCTCCATGTGGCCACCAGGACCACAGGCGCACAGCGGGAGGAGCACCGGCTAACGGAGCAGCAGTGGCTTCCGAGCGTCTCAGCAACAAGGTGCCCGTTTCAAACAAAATTCTACGTGGGTTCCAATACGAAAAAAGTAGTGATTTATTTGTATAAAATTGACATGACAGGTACAACGTGAGAGTCTTATGTACTGTACCCATGTAAACACGGGCCATGACCCAGATCCTGGATGACCCTGTTTATTGCTGTAGCCCGCTGATCTGTTCGCTGCCTTTGGTTGTCCAGTGTGGAGAAAATCCTGGTTCTCAAAGGTTATCTGCTGCTACTTCACAGCGGGTCTTGGGCACCTCGGGCCACTCTTCCATTAAAGTCACCCACAAGTGTACAAGAAGTGGCCAGAAGCTCCCTTGAGCCTGAGAGGCGAGGAACAGCTCTCGTCTCTGGCACCCTTTATCCTCACATCAAGACTGGGTGGGCCGCGCCAACTTAGGACAGGACACTGGGCATCCCCAGGCGGCCTGGCTGCTGCGACTCACCGCTGCTGGCCGTGGGGGCGAGCACAGCCCGTTGGGGCACCCGGACCACACCTGCATTCACTGGAGCCAGGTGAGGGGCACTGTGGTGGGCCCAGGGTGTAGAAGGTCCGCATGGAGCTACAAAGCCCCCAGCCACAGACTGGCGTGGGCGATACCCACCATGTGAGAGTCTGCCAGCAAAACATGCATGTATTCTAGTTTGTCAAATGAGTTTAAAAATATTTAAAGACAGTATTAAAATGAAACGAGGAACCACGCAGCTGGGGCCTGCAGCCTGTTACTTTGGTTCCCACGTGACCAGGTCTCAGGAAGGCTCCCTGTGGGAGCTCGGCACTCTCAAGTCGTGAGGGCAGTAGGTCACTGCGGGAGCCCACCTTGAGCGCTGCCAGCAGCCAGCCAGGACTTCCCAAGGCCGAGCACTCACCACGACAGTCACAGCTTTCCGGTGCCCGACGAAGTCCATGTTGGTCTTCCAGCCCTCCCGTTCGATGATCTGGGCGGTGGGGCCGGAGTTGTTCATGGCGTGGGCAGACACCAGGTAATGCCCGTCGGGTGACCAGCTGAGCCGTAACACATGGGTCGTCCCTCCACACTGAAAGAAACACCTGCGCTGGAAAGGAGCTCCAGGCTGACCTCAGGAGCAAAGCTGTGGCCCTCATGAATCAAGTCGGACTCTGGTTTACAAACGTATGATGGTGAAGTGTGCACCCCAAACTTCTGGCTACACTGTCAGCTGTCACTCTGGTCTCTCTAGATGGCCCAGCAAGAAGGAAATGAGTTTGCAGCATCCTCTACTTCCCCATTGCTGAACAACGAGAGAGCATAGAAGTACAGGCTTTGAGGGGATCTGCACGAAGTCCACCTCTCAGAACCTTCGGCTCGGCAAGGGCCACGTCTATGTGGCCACTGACCTGCTTCTTCCACATAGCACCTGTTACCCCACCACGTGATGTCTGCAGAGCATCCGTGTGAAAAGCAGCAGAGGAGACAGAGCTCTGCTGACACTTGGGCGCCTGGCTATGCCTGTGGTGCAGGGTCACAGGCCAGTGACCCTGAGGCACTACCTGTTCTCCTGAGCCTGTCTCCTCACCTGGAGAGAGGTGAGGCCCCCTGAAAAGGAGAAGAGGTTTGTCCAGTCCTTTCCGCTGTAAAACACCCAGCAGAAAGGCTCAGTTGCCGGGCCTGAACTGAGGGAGCAGCAGAGCACCCTTCACATCACTCTTCCTGCTCAGTGAGATGAGCTGGGTCCAAAGCCAGCCTCCTGAAGCTCGAGCTGGCCTGCGGCAGCCCTAAAGACTTAGGGGTTAAGATCTGCAGGGCCCCTGCATAGGACAGGACTAGGGCACAGCGGCATCACCTGCCTTATCTTCCAGTCCAGGCCACACACCACCGAGCACGATGGGACCACCCAGCAGAGGCCGAGGAGCACTGGCAACTCTCACTGGTATTCAAGACAGTCCTGGAGCTGGCCCTAGGAGCCCCACTCACGGTACCCCCACTGCCTGGCAGCTGGAGCCTTGAAGGACTCCAGAAGGCCAAACAGCCCATGTCACCTGTAGCAGGCAGGTACAGGCAAAGAGGACCAGACTAAGAAAGGTGAAAACTCTTATAACTAAGCCCAGAGCTGGTGCTGGTTCGTGGGGATCTGAATACTTGATTTTCATTTTCCTCCCATCTGACCTATTCTTCCTGTAAAACTTCACTCTTGTCCCTTGCTCTGAGAAGTCCTTCTCAGGCAATTGCTCCTCCGGGGCCATTTCTGCACACTCTGGACAGACCATCACCTCCCGCAACCGACGTGCGTGTCTGCCTATCGTTCTTTCAGGGCTGTAGGGCTTGGGGGAGAGACTCCTCTCTGTCCACTTTATTTCCTCACCTAGTCATGCCTTAAACACGGTAGGTGCTCGATGTCTAATGAAAAGCAGTGATCTGAGCTCTGATTCCATGTAAAGTTAGAACTCAGAGAAAGAGATCGTAAGATACCACAGAAGCTACCACAGCCCAGTGTCCAACATTCGCAGACTCTAATGTACCCCTAGCTCCACCTGAGGAGGAAGCTGGCATGGCCGCAGACGGACATGGACAGGCACAGCCACAAGCAGTCAGGACAAACAAGGGCCAGCCTCCTCCACCCGTCCCCCACCCTGAACGCTGTGGCTCGGTGTCAACTCCTCATGGCAAGGAACAGTGTCGTCCACGCCTGTGGCAGGAAACCAGCCCCACCAGGGTGTATCACTTA